CACCTTTACTCCTTTAACAAGTATATCTGCGGTGCTGATCCGATTTTAGATGTTTGAAGGGTTAAAGACAACTATCATCCCTCTACTTTGTGAAAAAGTTCAATTTAATCCTTCTACTATGGAATCACCTCAAGTCATCCCTCTACTTCATTTTGAGCTCACATGTCCTCCCTCTACCATTCAAAAAGTGACCAATTTCGTCCCTCCATCCATTCCATGGCTAACACCGTCAATTTTTATCATTTTAAAGCCTAACGGTTTGATGTTTAACATATATTTCTATATTATTCTTTTCTCCAATTTAGTTATAACCAATGCCACATCATATTTCATAATAGTATCTTGGTTTAAGTACCATTTTGGTCCCTCAACTTATCACTTTGGTATTAAAATTGTCCCTCAGCTTTAAAAAGTACCAAAATTATTCTTAAACTTTCATTTTCGATACTAAAATAATCCTTCTATCAGTTAAATGACAGGTGGCACGTTAAAATGCCACAAAATCATATTCTTAAACAAATAATAATTACGTGGAAAACATATCATGCTAAAAGTGATGAGATGACAGTTTTTTTTAAAATAATTTTTTCCACGTCAAATAAAAATGAATTTATAAATTAAATGAATTTTAAAATAATTAAGTTAATTAACTTTCATTTCATCAATCTTCTTCTTTCTCCTCATCCTCAGCCTAATCCTCGGCATCATCATTTCACCGTTTATCTTCTTCACCATTTTCTTCACCATTCTCTTCACCATCTTCACCATCCTCTTTCTCTTCATCATCTTGATTCCTCATGGAACCCGATGCTGGGTTTTCCTCTTGTTCATCTTGGTTCTTCGCGGTTCCGCAAGGAACCCAGCTCGGTGTTGGGTGGCGAAACCTAACCCGATGCTAGGTTTCTTGAGGAACCCAGTTCCTTGAGGAACTCAGTTTTGGGTTCCTGGGTTTCGTGAGGAACCCAGATCTGGGTTTCGTGAGGAACCCAGTTCTGGGTTTCGTCAAGGAACCCAGTTCTGGGTTTCGTCAAGGAACCCAGATCTGGGTTTCGTGAGGAACCCAGTTCTGGGTTTCGTCAAGGAACCCAGATCTGGGTTTCGTGAAGAACCCAATTCTGGGTTTCGTGAAGAACCCAGTTCTGGGTTTCGTCAAGGAACCCAGATCTGGGTTTCGTGAAGAACCCAGTTATGGGTTTCATGAAGAACCCAGTTCTAGGTTCCTCAAGGAACCCAGCTCTAGGTTCCTGGGTTCCTGGGTTCCTCGAAGAACCTAGGTTCTGGGTTTCGTGAGGAACCCTTGACGAACCCAGAACCTAGGTTACGCGAGGTTCCTTGAAGAACCCAGTTTCTGGGTTCCTCGCGAAATAAACCCTAGCATTTCTTCGAGTAATTTCACAATTTCACTTCATTTCCATAGCTCTGAGCACGAAATTCATATTCTTGGTGATTGGCTTGATCAATTTTGAAGTTTGGGATGGTAAAGCTAGTTTTTCTTTGCTCTGTTTCTTTAGCTTCTTGCTTTGTTTGGTTGCTCTGTTTCAATTTTGAAGTTTTTCTTTGTTTGATTGCTGTGTTTCAATTTTGAAGTTTTTCTTTGTTTGATTGCTTTGTTTTCGCTTGGCCTTCGGGAACTCAATTGAAACTAGAAAAGGAAAACAATTTTTCATGTGGGGCCCACAAAAATTGAATCTAAAAAGGGAGAGCAATTTGACGTGGAAAAAACATGCCACGGTAGCAAAATTTTGTTTGCTGGATTTACATGTCATTAAAAGTAAAAAAAAGCAATGATTTTGTGGCATTTTAACGTGCCACCTGTCCACTTAACTGTCAAAAGGACCATTTTGGTACAAAAAATGAAAGTTCAAGGATAATTTTGGTACTTTTTAAAGCTGAGGGACAATTTTGATACCAAAGTGATAAGTTGAGGGACTAAAATGGTACTTAAACCTAATATCTTTCTACATAAATATTTTACCAACTTTTTTTCTCAATCATTAGTCACGTTTATTTATCTCTTTTTATTAACTTTTTAGTTGAGTTAAT